TTAATATAGTTAAGAACTATATTATATATGGTATATAGTTAAGAACTATATTAACCAACTTAATATATCTTTCATTCAAAGTGTGAAGGGTGCCATTATAAAATAATAATATTAATATGAAATCTTATCAAAACAATTTTCGTTTCTTCATTCGTGAAATTCGTCTCTGACTAAGCAGGTTCTTACATTCTCATCCTCTGCAAGATTCTCATGTGCTAAAAAATACAACAAGTAATGATACAATGATTCGTTAAACAAATATTCTACTATCATAAATTTGTACTGTATAAACATAAGCCGAGACTACCCTGATATTTGTCACCAGATTAGTTTTGAAATCGTGCCTCTTCTAGGTTTGTGATATTTATGTACCGGCATATATTTCGTTTTCCAACAAGAAGAGATATAATCCTACAACTGAGAAGTACTCGTACCTTAAGACGTTAGTAAAGAAATAAGAAAAAATTATTCTTAGAAAGTTCGTTGCCATTTCATTCTGTAAACACACTCAGAGTAGGGATTATGCAATGCTTTAGCTCCGAGGCAGAGGGAATGAATTGTCAACAGCCAAATTAGGGAAAACCTAGATTTCGTACTGCCACAAATTAAAACTTTTCGTCAATTTTGCGATAATGAGCACTGACGATGAGTTGATATTCTTAACCAGAATCTTTTTAGATTTCGCAGTTATTAATGATACAAAAAAAAAAAGCCGAGCTGACTTTGAATTTTTGTGCACAAGTGAGTAAATAAATATATATCTCGTCTAATTTTATTAATAATATTTTTTTATTGTACTTTTTTTGTCTTGGCTCACGTACACCACAAAAAGCGAAAGCTTAAATGTCATTGGCATCGGAAATAGAAATATGGATTTTGATATTACAACATCGAAATTTTGTTTTACGATTTTATGGCGCTGCGTTTCAGTAACGATTTACGATCGTAGTTACCCACTGAGCTCTGGGCTTTTACTATACAATTTGTAGAATTAAATAATAAAATTAAATTTTGATATGCATTCACAAATATTCAAGTAGAACTTTGCACTTCACGCAAGCAACTTAGGGAACATGAGTACGAGTATCTTTATTTTTGTTAAAAATTCACGTATTTTATTCATAATTTTTCTGCATTTGCGGTGAATCAAAGCGGCTTCAAGCTGTCAGCGAACTCGTGCTTAAGTATCTTTTTTACAAAATCTTTACTTTTTCATACAATATTATTACTATAGAATATTAATAAAAACAATCCTTAAAATTCTGAATAAAATATTATTGAATGCGAAGGCTTTTTTATAATTTAAAAATTAATTTTAAATTATTTTCATAAAGCCAATCACTTACAACATTTGAAAACAATTAAAACTAAATAATAAATGCTTATACAAACACAAATATATAAAATTATTCTCTTTTATAATTTCTAATTATTTTAATATAATAAAGTCGGTTTAGTTTTTTCAGAATTTTAACTTTTGTTTCGTTCTTGCCTTCATCAGGGGAGTTCCTAATATATTTATAAAATTTGAAACACCAGAGAACACGAATAGCGAAGCCATTGAATACTCGAACGATATTGCTCCCATGATCACTCCCAAGATATTGCACTTCATTCAGGAATATTTCAAAAATATTCTACAAAATATTCTTGAGAACTGTGGATACTGGAATATGGTCTGATGATTTACATTTCAAAATTCAAATAAGTAATTTTTAATAGAAAACAAAGAATTACATCTCTTTCTGAGACTGATTTTTACTGAGAATATAATTTTTTTTAGACATTTTACTTGACGGGGTACTCCATATCAATCAAAATATCATATAACAGTTCAAAAAATTAAAGCTATTGCTTCATCAGCTTTAAATCAGAAATCTTTTTCTTAGTCAGAATATTATGAACACGAAATAGGAAATACAACCTCTTGTACTCTACATATACGGCTGACATAACTAGATACTAATGATTGGTGCGAAAGTAGATCTATTAAAAGCCACTTTGCATCAGTGGCAATAGTGTATTTAGTGAGTGGCAGGGGAGGGTGTTTAAGGGGTAGATTCCTCTCTGAATAATATAATACATAATACAAAAATTTAGTCAATTTTAAATTTAAAAATATTTCAAAATATATTTCAAAAATGTAGAAATACTGCCCAAAAAAATTGTTTCTAGTACAGCTCATCCTTGGCACAATCATGACAAGCCACCGATCAGTGGTGGTGTTGATAACTACTCCATGTAATGTGTTACACTCAATATTTCATTTCTGATGCTTTGCTTGATATCAAAACTGACACCATTCTCAGCTTTTAGGATCATAATAGGAGACCAATAACTACGGCCACAATTCCATTCTAAATCTGTTTAATTTCTCTGTAAAAAAATATTGATCTCATTTTCATTATTCTCAATTTCGGTAGAAAAAAGATAATCGTCTTTTCGAAAAAAAGATAGGAAGGATCCTTATTAGAAGACAATATCATTTATACAAACTGCTCCAGATTAATATCGGTAGGTAAGCGAATTTTTTTTTAAAGAATTGAATATATCTTTAAAAAAAGATTTAAGAGTACGCCTTACGACCTGATTGGGACCATTCGAGAAACATATCTTTTATTCAAATATATCTTGAAAACTTTATTTATAATACAGTTAACTACAAGTTGGGAAGCTGGTATGCTGATTCCTACTAAATAAGTACTAAGCAAAGCTTAAAAACGTGACATAAAAACAACTAAGGTGAAGATTTTAATGATTAACTAGCTGAGATGTTTAAAATTGATGGTGACGAGCTATTAAAATGAATACTGCAGATCACCCTAAAATATGTAAACTACGTAGTAAAGCAACAGTGACAAAGGTCGTACTGGCATTTACCAACTGCATTCAAACAATTAATCTTGTATACAATCTATCTCCTTAGTTTAATAATACAAATAGTTAAAACAAATAAAGGATGCTGACAAAATAATTTCTTTTCTCAGATAATATTACATTAAAAATTTTTAATTACTACAACAAAATGTGGATAACTAATATGTTATTTCCATTAAACTTAATGAGAATTATAAAAAATAACTAATGTAAAGAATAACTAAATTTATTGCGTAAATTAAGTTGCTTATTTATGTTTAACTTATCACATTTCTTTCTTAATTTGTTTTCCTACCTGTAATAATGATGCTATCATCACATGCTGTTATCCTTAATCAAAAAATAGCTGCTTTTCTTGACTTGCTCTCTTATTCTTTTCCGTGATATACTTAAAAGTAATGGCACCTTCATACAAACTATACAAATATATCATTTAACTTTGAAACTAAATAGTAAGAAAGTAAAATTTACTGCCATGATGTCATATATAAAATAATTCGGAGGTGAAAAATCGGACTGGCCAAAAAATTCTAATTGGTATAGTCAAGGAAGACAAAAGACATAATAATTAAATTTTTTCCCTCCAATGAGCAATACAATTATAGCAATTAAGCAATTAAGAGTGTTTTGATAAGCTTAATTATATGAACTCACCAAATTGTAATGAGGTATCGGATCAGCTAGAAATACATATAGGTATATTATCAACGGGAAATGAACTGCTCTATTAGCTTAGTTATTTTAATAAACTGACGTAAAATTTTGGGGTATATTATAATAAATAGATAAATAATACAATTGACAATAATACAATAAACATGCATTACATTACTATTACTATTACTATTAAGAGGTAATTACAGGTACTTGTTTTGAAATATTAAGTAAAAGAACGGTGTTCGGTTAGTACATCGGTACACATTTTATGTCTGGAATTGACATAAAATGTCAATTTTGAACACTATCCAAAGTTTTTTGGTGTTCTATAAAATTTTTCATATATATATTTGGAACAATATACGTATATACGAAAAAATATCTTTGTAGTGTTCTGCATTGTATAGTACAGATATTTCTACTTGGTATACTTAGAATAAAGTTCAAAATTATTATTTTTTTATATCTATATTGCTTCACTATAGTAAATAGCAGTATCTAAATAATGTGAAAAAATATAGTACATTATAGATATTTCTACATCAGCATTAGCCAGATTCTTGCCTTTATTAATGCCTCTGGCTTGTACTAGTTTGACCTACTATTTACTACCCACTATTACGACGTTTTTGTGGATTCAAAACGGCTTTCTAGTTAATTGAGGAGGACTTGTCCTCCCTCCATCTTAACTAACTAACTAAATATACATATTTCTATTATGTATATTTGAAATAAAATTTAAAATTAATACTAATTTAAAAAATTCCGCAACTGCCAACTTATTGCTCTTTACGATATTTAATTGACAACAATTAATTTACGATTAGCGCTTATTAGTTTATTAGTAATGAAGTAGGAATTACTAATAAATACTCAAAATTCCTAATAGCGGCTTTAATTTAAATCCACAAATTGGCTTCCACAACAAATTTCGAAGCACAAATCAGTTACCTTCGCATTTCGCGCCATGAAGAAAAATTTTAACCCACACCAATAAAAAATACCCGCTAATGTCGCCAATGTTGCCACTATTGTAGCTGTCGTAGTTCTTCGTCGTCTTCACCTTTTCTTCGGCTAGTGTCTTTTGGTCAGCGATTGTGTGGTGCTTGCTGTATGTCTCTTCTTTGAATTCTTAATAAATCAAAGTGGAGAATATAAATTGGGACCAGCACACCTTAAACAATCGCAGTTAGTATTTTTCAGCCAACGGAGCCTCACAAGTGTAGCGAGTGCGAGCTTTGGTCTGAAGCCACACAGACAATAGAAAAAAAAACAATCAACCCATAGCAGAGGAAGTGCTATGCCCAAAAGGATTAAGTGGATTAATTATAAATAAAATTTCTCACGAAAAACAAAATAACCTAAAAAAACGAAAATTATTTCAAATAAGTGTTTTTTAAACTTTAAAATATAAGTAAATTGTGATTTTTGAAAAAAAAACTCCAATTCAAAGTGCTAAAGTGCCAAAGTAAATAAGATTAGTAAGAGTCGAAATTTAAATAAAACGAAAATGCATTCCAGAAAAATGTGGAAATCAATTATTTTATTGATCTGCCTTAGTGGATACTGCTGTGCCGGACCACTTGGCCAAAAGGTGGGTTACTTAATGCAATACAATAAAGGAAGAATGACAGACAGTGCATGCAATTTTAATAGAGAAATTATTTTCGCATTTACCGGTAAAGCATTTCCGTTTATTGTAGTTAATAAACGGAAATTGTAGATATTTTTTATTCATTATTTTTTTTTTTTTTTGAGTTTAATCAACTCATGCACTTTTTTGATATTCTTTGTTAGTATATAAATATATTTTATTCATAGTTTTTATCACAATGAAATTTAGTCGTCAAGAAATTATAAATTCCGAGCACGGACAGTTCTCATAGATTTTAGAACTGTGCCTTTCAACGTTGACGAACCTTTTGCTTATAAGATTTTTTATGGTGTCTGCCACTCGGACTTGATTTGTCTTGACTTTTAAAGTATTTAACATAAATAGAAATTGGAATTTAATTCACAAAAAAAACGTTATTAATTTGTGCTGATATAAGTCTATGTGGTTTTAAAGACTATTAAAAAAATATTATAAACAAATCAATACATATAATGATGCCTTCTTTACGTATTGTTTGAACAGCAAGTTTTTAAAGGAAGAATTTATAGGTCCTTAAGCTTGATTTATGATTGTGACTGTGCACCATATTTGTATACATATAAGGAAGAATTTTTATTAATGCAGATAAAATATAATAAGAGCATATACATTATTCCATATAAGCATATATAAACCCAGATATATATGACAGTGAGAAAAGATGTTTACGTCATAGGAACAGAAAATTTAAAGGTTAATATCTATGCTACATCTATGTTATATCTATCTATATATCAATGACTTTTCGTACATATATCAGCAATTTTAAGATATTACATCATTATGAAATGATTATAAAATCATTATAAAATTTTTGAAGACTTCTAGTAGAACATTTCACTCTTAATGGAATTTATCTGTAAAGTGATTTATAAAACTCATTAAATTCGGTTCTTAATTTATTTGAATGAAACTTCCTTTATACAACTCCTCCTTTTAAATTATTGGCAAAACATTTGTTGTGATGAATTGCGATTGATTCATGTCAGTTAATATTCAGTTAATATAGAGTATCTCGAATGCATCTTAATTAATATAATTCAATTTAAGTGAATATATTTACGATGCGTATATAATAATTCTCACCAAAGTTACATACAAAGGATCACATACGCATTTAGAAACTTAAAAATCATTCGATCCAATTAATAAAAATTAATGTCAATTTAAATCATCAATAAAATTAATCAATTCAAAAAATAAAATAGGGTATAATATTTTCAATTAAACGCTTTTATTAAAAGATAATTCACTACGTATTGAAAAAGATTCTTTCCTGAATCTATACTTTCTTTCCTGGAATAACAGTATAACTCAATAGTCTCCCATTTATAGCGATTTTTGATTTTTCTTCTTACAATTATTGACTCCTTTTTTCAGTTAGTTATTTTCCACTTCCTTTATAAACCTGTTAACCTTTGCATAGACATGCGCTTCTTCTCCCACTAGCCTCTGTAATTTCTGATTTCAATCTCTATTTCTTCATGTATTAAATTTTAATATTATATATACATTAATCAACTGATAAAGCTTATTATCTCACTTTCTTCTGTATGGAGAAGCACTGCAGATATTTTTTTCCACATTAATTTTCTCCCCTATATGATGAAATGTAGTCTTTAAGTAGTATCACTAGTTATCGTTATCTACATACACCTTTGAAGCTGTGCACATCCATTCCAATTTGATAAAAGTTTCCTTACCCTATAAAAGAAGTGCTTGATTTTTTAATTGTTGACTGTTTGACTAATTTTTGATTGTAATAGATCCATATTTAATCATTTATGATATTGTTTAGAATCTGGATTAAAATAATTTAATCACAAATTACTAATCATAATATAAATATATGGATGAAGTCCATCTCTTTATCCATTTTCCTAGATTTATATCCATCTATTTTTAAGGACAGTAACTTTAAATGTGGACTTATATGCTAAGCAAATTATATGCACTGACACATGCCGACATGAAATATTGATAAATTAAAATTCTTGACATATTAATATCTGTTTGGAGATGTTTATCTTAGTTTTTTTCATATTTTGTATTTTAACCTATGAAAGCTTAATATGAATGTTGAAAAATTATCTGATAGAGTTTTAGATTCATTATTTTCAGTCTGAGTCATGCAAAAATGCAAAGAAGAATCGATCACAACAATGGGATCGATATGATTACAAAGTGAATAATGTGATTAGATTCATTTTAATCATATTTAGCTAGAACATTGGGGTTGCGTTGAAACTTACATCAAGTTCATAATTTTGAGTAGTATAATTCGGTTCTTATAAACTGCATCTTATAATTTCAATATTATCTAACCAATGGAGTGCTTAAAAGAAGAAGAAAAAATATATAAAGCTTAACAACTTAGTTGTCATTTTTAATGGCTTCAGTATATTATTAACTTATTCTTTGGATGGTATTTTCAAGTCACATGGAATTGAGTTGTATCTTCATTCAGACTCCTACACGGGTCAATGGCCTTAAAATGTATCTACATTCCGCCTCCGGCTTAAATGCCGTTTTCTGGGTTGTTTTGGTGCTTAATCTCTTTTTACTTCCATTATCTGTAACACTTGCTCTATTACTTGCATATTCATTTAATAGTTATACTAGCGTCCTTTGCTTATGCCAAGGTTTCTGGCATTTCTATTCTATTCCGTCACACAAAATTTTGCACTAATTTAGAAGGATGCACTTCAATATATATGGCATCGTATGTATTGTAGACCTTGCTATTGAGCTGCGTTAGTATTTTCTTTACTGGTAGAATATCAGATGCCACTTTTTAGTATTACCATTTACATTAATAGATTCGAATTGAAAGATTAAAGTGAAGAATCTTTACAACAATTCCTTATAAGTAAAAGGTTGTGATATTGAGTTCCTTTTATTATGGGAACTAAAAACTCTTCATTCCATTCTATATGATGGGGAATTAGCTACTGATTTACTATATATTCATTTAATAGAATATTCACTCATTTAGAATCGAACATTGAGTTTTATATAGCATACTTTTAATCTATTTTAAAATTACGTTTCTACTACCATTTTATTTTAACCGAGATTACATTGGGTTAGATATTGAAATAAATCTACTTCAAATTTGATGTTAACTACTCTTACTTCGACTTCATGGATCCATTGCACTTACTTAGGGTTTATATAAACTGCCTTTACTTAGGGGTTCATACATCCATTGCGTTTAATTAGGGTTTTCGTAATTAAGTGTTCTTTCTCTTAGTGGCTTGGTGTTATACGTAAGTAAGGCTTCTGTGGCACTTGTTTTTCTGATTTAAAATTTTACTCTTATCATTAAGATTCTTATTCATATCTTATCTATATGACTATTATCTATACTCTTATCTTATCTATAGATTGTTTAGCAAGCAATCCAAATTTTCCTAAATTGAAATTACAGAAATGATTTTGTTTTTTATCCTCGCATTTCTTTACGAGTTAGTATGGCTCATTAAATGCAAAAATATTAAAATTAGAAAGTTAGATTACTAATAGTTAATGCATTTTTGGATATTGTTTTTTTATGAAACTTGCAATTACGCATAAAAATGACTTAAAATTCATAATCGTGACGGAAAACGAAATTTGCATAAAAATATTAAATAATTTATATTTGCGGCTTAAAGACTTTTTAATACATTTTTAATTGTTTTATAAACCTTTTTAATCAATTATTAACCTTAGACCATTAAACGGTGAACAACAGGTGCAATATTTAAAAAAAAATATGGAAACGTCGCGATATTGGCGGTAAGAGTCATGGCGCATGTGCGTGACGTGCTAAAGCGCATGCGTTAATTGTGCTACCAAAATTGTCGGGAATAAATTGACGAAATTTCGACTGCAAGTGACTTTTTTCATGAAACAAAATATCGTAGTTTCACTTTACACCTCTTGAAGGAAAACTAGAACAGAAGTGAAATTTTTAATTCATTGGCTTCATAGACTTAATGACTTGTCTCCGACACGGCTTTATTGACTAAGCTACCTTCTGCCTTCCGTTGGTAGCAAACGTTTTTTAAAGCCCGCTTACTACCGACTTTTTGACTTTATTTCTTGATTGTACTACAGTCACGTGCAAAAATGTGTTTTTTGTTTATTGGTTTACTTCACAAAAATTTAAATTTTTAAATGACAACTTTAAAAACTTAATGGCTAGATAAGCTGGAGTCATAAGGTACTGCCACTTTGATATTATGAATTCAAAACACGTTGCATTTAAGCTTTAAATGCATAACTTTGAAATAATAAAGAGAAACTGACAGATGATTCTATCAAATATGGGTGTTAAGCCATAAAACTGCATACTTATTTATATAATATTTGAAAGAAATACCATAATTTAATGTTTATTTTACACTTTTAGAAAAACATGCCAATTATGCAACGTGATGGTGAACCAATGATTAAAGAAGCAGCTGGTTCTGAAGAAGCTGTTGCTGAAAAACCCATGTCCGCACAAGAAACAATGCTTATGTCTACCTTGACACTACCAAGCAATGCAACTTCAATTCGCGCCGATATCACTGATAATTTCTCCTGTGACGATAAAGCCTATGGTTACTATGCTGATGTGGAAAATGATTGCCAAATTTTCCACGTATGTCTGCCGGTCACATATGCCGATGGCAAGGAAAACACCTTCCGCTGGAGTTTTATATGTCCCGAAGAAACAGTATTCAGTCAGGTATAAAAAGAAATTTTAAAAAACATATGCCAAATGCCTTTTCCTATAATATTTTTATTCTTAGGATTCTTTTACTTGTATGCGCCCCGAGGATATGAGCATTGAATGCGAAGAGTCACACAAATATTATGAACTTAATCGTAACTTTGGAATGATTGAAAGTGAATCGAATAACAACAACAACAATATGGCTAGCGATCATGAAGATGCCATGCCAGCAGCAGCCGAAGCTCAACCACAAATTCAATCAAAACCAGTTATGCGGGAGGATGAAAAAGTTCAAATGGCTGCAGCTCCAGTACAAATGCAAGCACAATCAATGAAGGATAAAATGAATGAGAAAGAAAAGCCAGTTAAAGTACAAAAACCTAACCGCAGAAAGCCAGCCATTTCATTTAGTGCACAAAAGAAACCCGCAACTCATCCTTTACGTAAAGTTCCACAAACGAATACTGTCGCAACTGCAGAGGTACTACCAGAGAAACAAGTGGTAGAAATAGTGAAAACAGAAGAGGAGGCAACAGAAGTAAAACCTGTTGTACAAAGATTTAAAAAGCGTCCAACACATGTTATCACTTTAGTCAAGGAAAAGCCACAAACAACTTCCATTTTAGTCGAAAAAACTAAAACTCCCTTACGTACAGACATATACAATCAAATAAGAAAGAGACCCACATTTGCAAATAAACAGGAAACTGTTTTTGTGGATACAAAAACAGTACCAGAAAATACTCCTGAAGTTGTTGTTGCAGAAACACCTATATCCACATTAGTCATTAAATCAGAAACAGCACCCATACCAGATGCACTTCCTGCCGACACAACTACATCAGATGTCAAACTAGTCAATACTGCTAATGCTATTATTGAACCAGATTCCTCTGCATCCGAAACGGCAATCACCTATATAAAACCAGCCGAAGTTGTAAAGGACGCTGATGAAAATAAACCAGAAGAAACAGTTTTAGCTGCTGAACCAATTAATCTCGATAGTACTAAAACAAAAGCAACTGAGCTGATTGCAACAGAAACTGTACCTGCGCCATTAGTGGAAGAGACAGTCAAAGCTGAACAACCATTGATGCCAATTGAAGCTATTGAAGAAATTCCAGCTGTAATTGCAGAAGTAGAGGAAAATCAGTTAGCCAGTAATGATAAGAATATGCTAAAAACTGAACCTATTTTAGTTGTTGATGAAAACAAGCCTTCGTTGCATGAAGAGCAGGTTACTATTGATGAAGCACCCATTAAACCAGAAATAGTAGAGCCCACATTTAATAAAGTTGAATTGACAAATGAACCAATGGAGGTAGTACCACTAAAACTAGAAGATAATAAAGTTAAAACAGTTACAGAAGACATGCCACAAGTAATTGAAACTCAGCCCATGTCAACTAATACAGCAGCAGTTCCTCAAGATATGCCAGTTGATGTGCCAGCTACAAATGTTAATGAAAGCGAAGAACTCATAAAACCAATTGAGTCAGCTGAAGTTATGCCTGTAGCAGATGAAGTTGAGAATGCAGATACTCAAAAAGAAACCATGGGTGGCTTTAAACCAGTAGACCCAGCTATGGCTGCTGAAGCTGAAGCATTAATTACAGATTTCTTAAATACCTTGAAGAAAACTGACGCTGACATGCAACCAATTATGCCAGGAGACATTATGCCAGAAACTATAAAAGAGGCGACTGAAAATCAAGAAACTATGAATTCAAGTGAACCAGCAGCAGAAGTAGAACAACTCAAAGGTGAAAGTAATGGAGAGGAACCAACGTCTGTTGAAAAAATGGTAATGCCCGAAGAAACTCCAAACGAAATGCTTGAAAAAAGTGAAACTTCGCAACCTATACCAGCTGATAATGTAGCGCTGAAGAGTTCTTCTGAGACTGCAGATAGTATAGAAGAACAAACTTCTGTTGAGGTTGTTCCAATGCCAAATAAGGAGTTAAATGCTTTTCCAAGTGAAATGTATCAAATTCCAGTTCAAGTTATAGCTGCACCGATCGAGGACATGTTAAGTGCAGGACAACTTACTGAAAAAGAAAATAAATCACAAGAAAATGTGGACAGTGTTGAATCGCATTTACAAAAGAAATTAGAAGAAGAAACAGAAAATAAGAAATTAGAAGCAGAAACGGAAACGGAAGATAAATTGACAACAACCTCTGATGAAGAAAATAATAAAAAGACTGAAACTAATTTAGAACCTGAAAAATCTGCCTATGCACCACTTAGTATTGATGATATCGTAGAACTTGTTAAAGAAAGGTTAGATCAGTTGCCAGCATCTGATAAGAAGAAGCCAATTGAGCTTGTAATGAAAAATGAAAGCGAGGAAAATCAGAATGAAGAACCACTTAAAACACTAACTGAGAACTCTGAGGAACAAGGATCACCGGAAGTAATTATAATGCCAATTTATCATCGTACACAGGACACAAATGAAAATACTTTAAAAACACAATCCGCGTTAACTGAAACTGAAACGGATAATTTACCTGCAAGCAGTACATTAACTGAAACTAAAGTGGAGCCTGAGAATGAAACTCTAAATAAAGCCGTACAAACTGAAGAAGTGGCAGAGCCAATTGTATCAAGTAGCGATACCGCCAAATTGACACCCGAAACCACTGAGGAGAACGAAAAAACTAGTCGCTTCTATCGAGCACGCAACTTGAAGAACTCGAAAATGGATCCACGCAAGCGTCGCTTTCTCTTCAGATCAGATGCCAGTTAAAATATTGGCATGTGTATTACTTTAGTGTTTGCCTGCGCCCATAACCCGCCAATTCAACAAATCCTTAGGTTTCCTAGAATTTTCTATATTTCGCTCATTTAAGGTACAACAAACGATGACTGCATTGATTTATGTTTGATACATGTTCACTTTAATTCTATTGATAATTAGAAAATTAATTTATGCTTTATTTTAGGCTTTGTTAAAATTAATTCATTTTACTTTATGTATTTCAAGCACATAAGCCATTTAAATATCTTGTTTTGTTGTTATTTATGTCTTTGAATTTTTTTTAATTTCAATTTATAATTTCGAAAAAAAATTTAATTTGTTCTTGTGCGATAAATAAAATGAAAATTATCTTAAAAAATTAAAAAACAATAATTTGCATTAATTACAATCGTGCATTGGAATGAGTGTTTATTTAAAGACACATTCATCCTATACATGATAGTTGTTAATGTTTACATTCTTCCTTTCGTTTTAAAAAGTAGTTACAAATACCTATATTATACATTGTGGGGCTTTGGGACAGCGCACAGTTCAGCAAGTGGCCCTACTGAAGTGAAGGATAAACCAAAGTAGACCACGAAACGATTTGGGACCTTTTTCGTCCTTCGATTATCGGATGTCGTTATTGAGTTAAAACTTGAGTGGATTCCATTCGAAGAGATGAGTAGCTAAATCTCTTCTTATTGCAAGCAGCTCATTTGGCTGCCAAGTTATCACCAATCAAATAATGTCCCAAGGCAGTCATCCCCCTGCTTGCTAGTGCTGGACATTGGCACAATATATTCACCACTGTCTTCTTTTCTTCTAAGCCTAGTCTGCAAGTGTCTTCCTCAACAAAAGTTTTCTTTTTGAGATAATATTTAAAGTTTTCAAATGTAATTATAGAAAATTAAATGTTCATAAATATTATGATTTCTATTAAGGTTTAAGATAACATTATCGTTATCAACAAATTTAAACGTCACTCTGTCTGGTAAACTCATAGCGATAGCCTTCCAAATTCTTTACAACTAATTTTTTTCGTGATTTATTTAATACTCAAAAATGTCACAAACAAAAACAGATATATTGAAGACGAAAAGACAAATATATTTGAAAATGTAACAGAGTTAAAGTATTACTTCATTTAGAATTTCCTCTTTCGGTCCTGTCTGTCACAGATTCCATCAATCAATGTTTTTAACCAATTTCACTTTAAACAATTTCAGATTCACAAATCATAGTCATATTTGAAGCCTTCACAAGAGTATTGAAAGATTGAATGTATATTATTATCAATTATTATTATATTTGCGCAATTTGAACTGCGGCCTAGCGATATATTAAGTCCTAATGTATGGTTTAGTAAAGATTTATATTAATTGTCTTAAGATTTAAGGACAATTCACCATACGAATATGTGTCAGTTTGGAGACACCAGTTACCATTCTTCACGGAGTAACTTTAAACATAGCAGTTACTTCCTTGATCGGTTTTGATCTCATGTGGATTTTAGAATACAAATTATTAATATACAACTCTCTACAATCTTCTTTTAACTGATAAGAAAATCCGAAACTTTACCGAAATCCGAAATTGGCGCCTCTTCAATTGCAGACTTCATAGCATCATCTGGTTACTTAAGTAGAAGCTTGCATCTCTGACTAATAGTCATATGAAACCAAAAGTTTTTCATTTCGATGTTGCCTCTCTGAGATCATTTTAGCCAGAGCTATCCATACACCTTACACTCATATATTTACGCCACTGATTATTATAATCATTATATAAACAAAGTAATCATCTTAATGATCAGTATGAACGACTGTGAATATTAAACTAATATATACTAATAGAGTAATAAACTAATACAGCTACTAGAAAATTTATAGCTTTCGGATAAAAAATCACATACCGAAATAAATAATAATTTTAACCGCCTAATCTTTCGTAGATATTCCGCTGGACTGTCGCTATATCTAATTTTTTTTCATAATATAAGCAAACTTCGTGTAGAGTTCTTAGTTAGCAGTACATACATTGAAGGATAGCGATGGATATTTATACAAATTAGTATGAATCATTTGATTTTGAAATAAATCCTATATGTGTCATACTAAATAGCGAAATTAATGCGATCAAGAGTAAAAATCAGTTGATAATTAATTTTATTATACGAACGATATTTGTGGTAATTTTAGTGAGCATACTTTCAGGAGCAAAATAGGTTGAGTTACAATTGCAGTGCTTTATTTCAAGCGTATTCGACTATATGTTATATGATTAGAAAGTTACAAGCAATATTTTTTGAAAAATATTTTAACATCACAATTGGTATATTTGTAAAGAACCAACTCTAATCTAACAGCAGATTGTGTGAGAAGCTGCAACAAGCCCCTGCTGCATTTTTCTTTACTATTTCTTTACCATTTGTATTTATTAAACGGGAATTGGCAATGTATTTTCGTTAAAGTTGACATATATTCACTGCAAATATAATTCGCATAAATATAGAAGTTATTTAAGTTTAGCTTTCGAAGACAATGACCACAATGATTTTCAATTGCATAAAGTTAAGTTAAATCAACTTGAACGGCAAAAGGAAAGAGCTCATCCTTCTAACTTTATGTAACACTACAATTTAAAATGTTTAATCCTATATTGTTTTAAAAAATTCACTTTAAAAGCACAACCAGCCTAACTATAAAGTTTATCTCCTCTGCTATAAACAACCCATTCACCACATAGTCTCGTACGCCTTCCTCATATGATATGCAATCAGTTTGGCGTAAAAAATTGATACAAATAGTTCGTCTCTTTGAGCGCAAGGTCCTCCATTATTGCATAAACTAAAAACGTGAGACTAACGGCTAGCACTTCTCTACCCTCTTCCTTTACAAAAAAAAAGCTCAAATTACTCTTATCGACGATTATGTCCAGACGCTCACGTAGTCGCACCTCTCACAGTTGCATGATCTTCTCCCTGACGTCTCAATCATTAGCACTTTTATGTCTAAACTCTTACTAGCCATATGCGTCAAGCCGTCCAGATAGTCAGAATTTGATGAGAGGCATTCAAATGCTAACATCATCCCTTCTGTACAACCACAGCTCTCGTAACCGTGGTCGCAGAGTCTACTTATCCATAACCAGCTCTTTTGCAATAACTCCATTCTCTCTACCTACCCCCTTCCACTTATGTTACGCTCATGCTTTCTGGCTTAGAAAGAACTAGACTTTCTCTTGACTAAGTCTCTTGATCTTAGCTCTCTTCCCTAATTATTGAAGTGAATGAACTAAAACCTTCTGCATTCATTCCTAAAAGGTAGTTAAAATCTTACACTGTAGCTATCGATACTTTTTACCAAATGCAAAAACAAAAACAAAAGAAACAAGCCAGTAACTTAGCCAATATGGGTTAATATGTTCCGCAATATTTTATTCTGTTTTTTATAATATACTTCTCTTCTAATTTGAATATGCTTAAATTTTATTTAAATATTATATGATATATTTTATATATTTTTATAATTTGAAATTATGAAATTATTATTATTATAAATTTTTATTATTATTTAAATTATTATAAAATTTATACAAATTTATTTTAAGTTCATAATTTGACATTATGTATACCTTTTTGTTCTCGAAAAAAAAACGCAATAAGAAAATTTAATAATTAATTATACATAAAAATATATATTTATTGTCATTTATTTAAATACACGAGACATTTATTTCGTCATAAAAAGTAATAGAAAACATTAAACAAATCTAAGATATTAAAACCAAAAATAATACATTTATTGAAACTAATTTGTAAACAAGCTTTCAACATTAAGTAATTTGATGATATTAAATAAAAGAGAATATTTATGTTTAAGAACTTTGGATGCTTAGCTGTATGTAGGGAACAATATCAATATATCAACAATAAAGTATGTCCATACACTTTTTTACTGTACATTAAAATACATAAAAAAGACTTAATTCAAGAGTTGGAAATTCTGCAAAAATAGTATCATTTACATCACAATAAATAGTTAATAAAATACTTAAGTACTAAATAATTAATTAAGCTTCAGTTTCCTCTTCAGCGCCATCTCGCAATTCTTCAGGAGAACGCAAATCAATTGCGAACTTTTGTCGTGTGGGTGTAATTTTATCACTGAGACTATCACCATCTTCCTTAACACGCCGGGAATACTCCTGAAATGCGGCTGCCAAAGCAAAAGTCAATTTACGCGCCATAGCACGACTGTCGCAGACGAAAGCATGTACCTCAAATGGATGGGGACTCTGATCATCTTTAACCACAATCATAGCGAAGACACGAGTGTAAACAAGATCTTGCACACCATAAGATATTGTGTCAATTGGATAGCTCCAATGATTAATACTTGCTTTAGGTGAAATAATATCAACGCTAACACCTTCTGTGGAGACTTTTAGGTCACAGTGAGGTAAAGTTCTATTCGGCGGGAGATTTTTTGCTATGCCAACCATTATGTCAACTGGACGGCGTGTATATTTAATGCCCCATAGTCCGCGTGACACTTCAGAGCCTATGTATTTAACCTGTAATTATGATAGATTTTTTTGTTAGAATTAAAATTAAAAATGTAATGGAAAATAATAACTAAACGCTTTGTTAGTGTTTTCATTATATCGCATTATGTCCATAATTATAAAATTTTTTACCAATAACACACATATTTTGTTAATAACAAAAAATAAGTTCTTTAAAAAAAATTGTTTATTTACATTTGGTTTCCGGTTATTAATACAAAAATAATTTGACTGACAAAGCTGACAACGACATTGCAGTCAGTGACCATGAAATCCCCCACAAACGTTGCATGCGTCACTGCGGGCGCTGCCAAAGCGGTACTTCCACTCTGTACAGTTTTTGGATGAGCTGTGTGTCGAGCTCGTTAGAGTTGGTCCCTTTTTTTGGAATTTCGGAATAAATTTGTAGAAATAAGAGAGCAAGAATTTCTAAATGCATTCATTCAACTTCATTTGTTGCCATTATTGGTGCGTCTGACACCGGATGTAACGGAGCGCTTCCACGTATGAATATCGTGGACTATTATATATTAATTTTTCATTATGGTTATATGTATATGGATGTGTTCATCTTCTTAATCGACATTCGTACAGTAAATGTGATTTTAGCAGCCACGCGTGACGGTGCCACTAATGTGAGCCACAATCCACTCATGCTTTCAATGGTTATTTTTTAGTTTTATTATTGTTAAAATATTAAAATATAAAATTATACTATAATTAACATTTCCAGCTTTACAAATAGTTTTATTAATTTTCTTTTTTCATTAATTATAGATTATAATAATAACTGGAAATTGTATTTAAATGATTTTTATTCACATCAAAAATAATTTAATATTTTAAAATTGTTATTTTTAATGTATTATTTAAATTATGTATAAAATTTTATTAATAATGAAAAAATTAACTTTTAAAGTTTGTCTTTAATAACTCCTAGTCCATAAATATATAGTACAATTTATAATATTTGATGCGAGGGATACTGATATATAGTTTATAAATACTTCAAAACTTTTTTCTAAACACATAATATATTACACATTAAAATATAATATTTAAATTTAAAATATATTAATTTTAATATAATATTAATATTTTTAATACAGTATTAACTCACTGGAAATGTAATCGGTAAATCTTCTACAAAAATCTGAGCTTCCATATCTGAGCCAGTTGCGGTAGCCATAGTACCAGGTTCTCTAATCGTTGCACTCTTCAAAATATGTCACTAATGATATGCATAACTACATTTGAAATATTTTCTGTCTATAAGTACTAGAAGAATAAAAATAATTTTTATTAATCATTTAGTAATTAAGTAATCATTTAACTAATTAAATAATATGTTGCTTAATGTATAATAACAATTAATATATATTATCAAAAAAATAATTGATTATTATAACAATAAAAATAAAAATATATACTTAAATAATATATAAAAAATAGTTTATTTTATAGTTGAAACCCCATTTTATAATAAAAATAATAATTGTTAAACATAAAAAGTGAGTCAATTTTATAGAATCGTCAGGTTGGTTTACTTTCACCAAAATGGGGAACTCGTGCCTTTCGACTTTCCGAAAGGAACGTATTTTCATCGAATTTTACAATTTTTTTCTTGCTTTCCGCTTGGGCCTTTATTTTTTCAATGATGTTTTGGACAATGATGTGTCCCATTTTATCCTTTACCATACATCGCCATTGAAAGACATGTGCTCAGCATTGCCTTTGTTTTGTTTAAATATATAATCAGTTACTTGCAGAATTAATATAATTCATATTAATACAGCCACAACACATTTTTACTGCACAAATTTTATTTAATATCAATAGATGAATTTTACATCTAAGCAACATTAATTCTTATAAATATTTCAAAAAAATAAAAAAATAAATTCGAATAATTTGAAAAAAAGAGGCAAAATAATTTTTCGATTTATGGAATGCATTATTGATATATTGATATCTCTTTTTGAAATATTAACTTCTGTGGTGTTTTTTTTTTTGTTATGACAAAGTAAACATATAGATTCAATTTTACAATAATACATAAGTAAGATATTTTTGTTTTAATAACTAAAAATTCTTTTTAGAGTTGAGATTTTTTAAATCATATCACAAAGAAAAAGAACGACAAATTTTGCAACAACAACGATGTTGTGTAGTTTATTTTAGAAATTTTTTCTGTTTATAAAAAGGAAAAAGGACGGAGTGACAATATCAGCACCAGCTACCTGCTACTATTACCACCTTCACTGTACAATCTTATTGTAATTTATTCATAAATTGTAAATCATTTAATTCATTGTTAATTGTTTATTATTTAAAACTTAAACTGTAAACAGGTTCCTGTATAAATAACCGTCTTATATGTTAAGAGCAATTATAATATTACACCGCCCTGAGAAAGAAGTCAAACAAACATCGACACGAAGACGATAGTTAAATTGACTACTATATAATAATATAAACAAAAATAGTAATTAATCGATAAGCTTTTATCTCTTCACTTCAACCTTTTTATCAAATAAAAATATTTTTTTATGTTTCATTTAATTATATTACTGATAAATGGTTGATTTCTTAAATTTTGAATAGATCATAATACCTTATGATCTTTTTTTTGTAAATATCACAAAACATTAACAATAATATATATATTTTTATTTATTATTTATATTTATAAAATTATTAAAATTTGCAATTAAAAAATTAGTTAAACAATCATAATGAACCTTCATTAACATGCAAAATTTTTTTATTATTATAATTAAATTATGAACATTAATTAATAATAAATTATAATTAAATTAATAAATTATTATTATTTTATTATATTATTAAACTTTGTAAATTTTTAAATTAATTCATTTTTGGTTTTTATTTACATAAATATGTAATAAAATTATGTATTTTTATATGGCGAGTTCACTGTTTTATTTTGATTTTTTTTTTATGTATAGGATAAATAATAAGTGTTATTAAAATAAAATTTTTTTAAAATAATTTTTGTTTTATTTTTGTTTTTCTTTAAGAAAGTACTTTCATTTTAAAAATGAATTGCATGTTCTTTATATCGTAACGTATTAAAATATATATATTTTGCATTTATATAGATTGGTGTTATTATCAAAATACTTTATTTTTAAATATTTTTTGTTGTATTTTTGCAATTTCTTAAGATTTTCTTTAAGGAAACATTTATTTTTAATATTTAATATTAAAAAAAAAGTTGGTTAACGTGCGCTGACTCTGAGCTTCCAATTTGGCAGGACACGAGTTCGATTTCTGGTACTTGCAGTCTCAAACAATTATTTACGAATATTTAAATACAAGAATTATTTCCAAGACCACTGATGATAAATATTTAGCAATACTCGAAACAGTTAAATGGTCAGCAAAAAATTCAATTAATTAAAATAATATAAAATGAATTTTTGTTGTTGTAGTACACTACTTTTCGAAAAAACCTCTTTAAAAAAATCTTATTATCAACAAATATTATAAGTAAATGCCAACAGAATACTGACACCAATGCTTTCTAATGTAAACTGAATATTAATCTCCAGCTATTTTCTATATAGTCTCTAAATAGAATTATTTTTTTTTAAATTAATTTATTTTTTATAATAATTTATTTCAACAAATAAAAATAATTTATATTTTATAAAAATATAATAAATTATTTTATACACAAACGCATTGATTTAAACGTATTAATTTTTCACATACACAAATGGCTGAACTCGACTATAGTACAGAGTTTTTATTATATATTATTAATTAATAAGGAATTAATTCTTTATATTTTTCGTTAGATTCAAAAATATTTTCGATTTATTTACTTCTAGAGGTTCAAACACGTAGAACCGTATTACGAGACAAACGTTTATGAATTATTTTATAATTTTTATTACGCCGGCGAACTCAATTCATAAACATTCTGAACTATTGTCAAACACGCCCAACCCGCGCTGCAGAGTACCACATTTTACCAGCTTTTCACTGAGCATTTCCATTTCCACTTCCACTTTGGACTACGTACGAACGTCACAAAATGTGAGTAGACCACCCGACCTTTACTATGAGTACGAGTACTACTACCGGCAACTGGTGATCTCTTCTTGTTGGTGTTATAACAACAACTGTTGTCTGTTGTGAGTGGTGCGGCAGCAGCAACAGTTGTTATGTTTTATTGCTTTATTAATTTGTTCATTCTGTTACTCACATTCACAGCAACAACAAAACAACAACAAAACAACAACAAATAACAACAAAAAAAATGTTAATAATACAAATGAATCAAAAGATAAAGAGATAAAAACGAAATGAAAATATGTTTCTGCTGATATACCATCTTAGTCTGCGTAACATTAACAACAAATATAAAAACAATTAAATAATAGCAACAAAAGTAACGAAAAACAGTAACAAAAACAAAAATTATAACAAAAACTGAAAACATATTACAAAAAACAACAGCAACGGTGACTAAAATCAGAAGTTAATGACCAACAATAAAACAAGAGAAAAATACGCGGCTCATCTGAAATTGTTTATCTTTTTTTGTTTCTTTGTTTTTGTAATTTTTTGGATTAATGAGAACAATGGAATTTTCATAACATAAACCCGAAAAAAAAATATTAATTTTTTATCAAATGATATGACGACAAAAGTAGATATAAATATAGAAGATGGTACAAACATGTCTCCAGAACAAAGCATACTATGTATGCTATGTACTGTGAGCTAAAATACAATAGATCTTTCACCTTGTAGGGCACCACTATAACTCCCTCATTAATAATGCACTTTGTGCTGGATAACGTTTTATAGACAAGTGAATAATAATAATCTGTTATTAAAGCAATATCAAAGAAATCAATCAAATAAATAGCTGTCTCTATAAAAGCAGACATACTGTAAAGAAAACATATTTATATATGGTAAATACTCGAAAAGCTAGGCCCCCAACAAATCAAAGATTTGTATTCAATTATTCTTTAATCTGAATATTTGGTTGTAATACTTGGTCGTATTTAGAACAAAGATTTCTCAAAATTGGCTTGGTAGCCTAAACAATATCAGCTTTGTTCGCATGGTAAGCGTTATATGGATCCTAAGGCATAAAGATATTATGAGAAATTGCAGGAAAGATAAACCTGCGTAGACAGATGCAATAACCAAACACCTATTGAGAGTTGTAAATTATTATTAAAGCATAATTTTATTAGGAAAAACAATTGGACCTGGTGATTGGTTATTCAAACAAGATTATTGGTAACAGTACAGGAATACCTATTGGTATTTGTAAATTACTATTAAAGAATAATTTTTTTAGAAAGATCAATTCGTCCACTAGTTGACGTCTATGTCAATATAGCCGAAACTTGATAGGAAAATCAAGTAAGTTACTCAGCTTGTCAAGAGAAGATATATCTGAGTGGTGAATTTAATAATCGGTAGGAACGTAGCAAGTTGGTCATGTGTGGTTTTATTACATTCCAAAAGGATGTGTTACTTTATTTCATGTACAATATTTACATTTAATGGTTAAACTATTCATATGTTGGATGTTTATGTTGATTATGCCGTAGGTCAGGAAACCGCCACAGTCATTTAGACAAACTAGCACAGTAATCATACACAACCAACTTTAAATTAAGCCAAGTCCCAAAAATCTTTCAAAATCTCTATTTTATTCATATAACGAGTAAGTTTACGCAGATTTTTTTATTTTAATATTTTATTTTTTATTTATTATTGTGATATAGTGAACCAATTTAATTTATTTATCAAAAACTTTTTATAAAAGGTCACATTCGTTTAGATTAAAAACTGGCATATGAATTTTTTTATTTAGATATTAAGAAATACAGTATTAAATCGTCTTATCATGACAATCAAGAATATACGAATAACATGCACTATTTTTATGGTTTCGGACAAATCATTCACCACGTTTTGGATAAACTTACCTAAAGTAAGCTATGTGAAGTGTAAAAATAGTAAATTAATAAAAGAATAAAAAATTAATACTGAGATATATGAAGCCGACAGATAGGCACATATGTATGTTACATTGCGACAGAACCAATAGATGGAGCAGTAACAATTGTTACATATATAACCAGTTACAAAAGTTTTTATTATCCTTAGTTTCATATTAACTAAATTTTTTGAACTTTCTATTCATATAAATGTTTTTTAAATATTTAATTTGAACAAAAAACTTCAATAATTGATAATATTTCTGATAAACGATATTTCTAATAAACACGATTTCTAATAAATAAATAATATAAATAATAAATCATTTGATAATTGTTGTATTTCAAATAATATACTTCACCGTGATCTTAAGACAGCCACAAAAGATGAAGAAACTGAAGGATTTATAGTATCAAACACATCTAGCATCCGGTTCCATCTGAACCCTAAATTGCTACAATTTTCAACAAGCTCGTACATAGTAAGGAGATAATGCTACTTGAACCTAATTGCAGCGTAATCAGAAGAGTATTAAAAGACGTTCTAAAGAATCAAGAAAAATAGAACATGTACAAACCTTTTATTAAATTTCTTTTACTAGATAACGATAATAAATATAGATCACAAAAAAATCAAATTCTGTGTAAATTAAAATCATATATAACAATATTACCAGTGTTTTTAACCAGCCATTGCTAGTTCAAAGAAGAGATTAAGCAGAATAGATATTGCAGCAAATTCTATATATTGTAAATACTAATATGAACGACCCGTATCAGCAGAGCACTTGAGTATCAAAGATATGGGATCAAACTCCATTTGTAGATACTAACATGAACAACCCGTATCAATAGAACACTTGAGTATCATAGATATGGGATCAAACTCCATTTGCAGACACAAGCATGAAGAACCCGTGTAAGCAGAGTTCTTTAGAAGCATATATACTATATCAAATCCCATTTACAGATACTTAGATTGAGAACCTGTGTCAGCAGAGTACTCGAGCAGTACAGGTACTGCATCAAACTCCATTTGCGGACACTAACATGCAGAAATCGTGTTAAAAGACTGCACCGCATCAAATTCCATTTGCTGATCCTAATATGAGGAATCTGAGTCGCCAAAGTATACACTAGGAAAATGCAAAGCACTTATGAACTAAAGATACAAATAACTTGGAACATACTCAAAGACCAGGCAAATATATAGCAATACATAATCCCTCCGATATTCTTAAGTGCTTGATGGCAACGATAGTGACTAAGATGTTAGCATATAATTGATGTCCCAGATAATCAATAGCATAGCAACGGACATAGGGCTTGGTAGAAACTTATAAGTAACTGAACCAAACTAATTGTCAGACTTATTCTAATAAAAATTTCTGATACCGGCTTCAGATTTTACTCCAATTTTTTCCCGTATGGAATATATATTATATCAACATTTACTAATATTATTTGCTTTGGTGTAAGCTCATCTAAGATTATGCATAATTTTCTACATTGTACGGGTTTTTACACGCTTGTGCGCATACACAAAAATTACAGAAATAAAATTTTGAATTTTACATGCGCGTACGCGGGAAAATTTTGATACAAAACAAACCGAAAGAAAGCAATTTGAATGGAAAAATAAGCACAGATATTTACCCACAAATTCCATCATTTCAGTTATATATGGTATCACTCCACTAAAATTAATTAATGGATCATGGCTACATTCACATACTTCACATACACCTGAGCTACACCATTACGACTTCTTAGATAATTAATTTATGTAAAATTTTCTTGAGCAAATAATTATATCGTCTGATAATAATTCCAAGTGATTTTTACTTTTCACTTCCCGTTCATGAAATAATTTATCGGAATAATTAAAATTTTATGAATATTTTATTAAATATCTTTATCGCATTCCGTAATAACACTTGTTTTAATTAATGAACATAATGCAATTTAAGATACCAAGAAGATAGCACATCAAATGATTAATAAATTTCTCAAGATACTTAGTTTTAGTACTCATTATAGTATTAAATGATTTTTAATAGTTTCTAGCATTATTTAAAAGATTATCAATAAAAAAAAAATCTCATAAATAAAGTGATAGTAATCTTTGACAATGGCATATATATTTGGACTGATTTTAAAATAATTAAAGTCCAACAATAAATCAATATATAAATTATAATAACTGTATTTATATATATTCAGCTATTTACTGAAGCATTTCTCAAATCGAAGTGTTATAATAAATTATATTTCTATAATTAAAAGAACATTTTTTATACATAAACTATAACTCGATGCTAAAATATTTGAAAAAAAATATTATAAAATTTTTTTAATAACAAAAAAGTTGCTAAAATTAAAGACCATCCATGAATTTAATAAGTTAGTTAATAAGTCGATATGATGAGGCCGGAACCTTTCTTTGGTCTAAGAAATAATAGTCTCCTTTCTCACATAAAAATAAAGGAGAATCAGAATAAAAACGATTGTATGTACCCATCAAAAGAAAAACTCAGAATCATCACAAGAATCCTAACAAGGTACTGTAGACTAAAACACCACCTTACAAAACTGGGTATACTTACGAATGCAAACTGTAGATTCTGTTAAGAGAATGAGGAGTCGGCCATTCATGTGCAGATAGAATGCCCTGCACTAATGCTCATACGAAATAGGTTCCTAGGAATGTATATTCATACGGAAGAGGAAATAAAACTCTGTAAAGTAGGTTCTATACTACTTTTTATTGACGCAACAGGGCTCAGAACTACTCTAAGCCCAGAAGGGGGTACAATAGACACGATGGTCGCAGTGCAACATCCCTTAACATTGTAATAATAATAAGCCGATATATCTGAATGGATATATTCCACAAACGCTTCGTTTTGTAGAATTAAAAGGAATAGGTGCTTTGACATTGAAAATTTTATATATTAGTACCAATTCAATCACAC